ACATGCAAATTTCAATACTACCTTTATCAGCAGTTATAATTTTGCCTTGGATATCCAAAGAATTTCAAGAGAAAAGCCAAGAATCAACATACTGACATTTCACAGAGTAGGTAATATCTGTCATTGATTCATTCATTGTATTTGACTAAAAGCCATTACAAATGCACCCCAAATAAACTTCAATAAAATTTCAGTAAAGAATACATACCTGTTTATGTAAAACATCATATAAAACATCAGATTAGTGAATCCCTTGCACAATCAATTGTAATATTTTTCAGATAATTAGGACGAATACTTTTAGATCACAGTCTGAAACTAACTAGCATATTTTCATGTAAGAACACTCAGCCTGCAAGGAAACCAAGATCTACCCTAAAAATTTCTTCCTGGGATTTTGATAAAGTTGGCAATAGAGAAAATAGTGTGAAACATCCTCTACCTCTCCCATGTTACAAATGCAGAGCCTTATATTTCTTGGAATGTTTCTGCATCCAAGGTCTCAATACCATATTGCATTTGAACTACTTTCCCTTAAAAAAAAAAAACAAAAAAAAACATTTTCAGTGCTTGGAATTACAAGCCTGCCACTTCTAGAGTAGAAAAAAATTCAGTGTGGCACAAGCTGACTTCTCTGCTGTTGTTTTCATGTTTTGTAGCTGTCTTCCAACAATTTATCTCATCAAAATGTACTCAAAAGAGGGGACCTGTTCCATGTTATTTTCTCCTAAATTACAATGAAATTTATGAGCTTATTTGATTTAGCAGAATTTATTTTAAATTGTTCTCTCTGAACTCATAAAGTTCATTTAGATTTCTCTTCAGCCCAATTTTATTCATGGATAATAATACAACATCATCTGCATATATCAAGATTACTGTTTTACAATTCCCTATTGAGAGAGAGAAGTGATCAGGACAATTGAACTTGGTTGCCATCTTATTATTATTATTATAAAGATTAAACTGAAGGAGTGGTAACAAGCAACCTTTCTGACTCCTTGTGTTGTACACATTTCCTCTGTCAACCTACTATTTGTATTAATCCTTACCCTCAGTTATATTAGTGTATAACTCCTGAATTAATAGTAACTACCTCCTATCTATATTAGTCCTGGTGAATTTGCCCCACAAACAGTTCCTATTGATTATATCAAAAGCTTAGGAGAAGTCAATAAATGGAGCAAAAATCAATTTGGAAGCACCCACTAGTGTATTTACAAATTAAATGATATAACACAAAAATCTGATCCACTATACTGTTTGTTGTTGTTGTTGTGTGCCTTCAAGTACTTTCCAACATGGTGGTTCTAAAGCAAGCATATTATGGGATTTTCTTGACAAGTTTCTTCAGAGGGGGTTTACCATTGCCTTCATCTGAGGTTGAGAGAGTGTGACTTGCCCAAGGTCACCCAGTGGGTTTTGATGGCTGAGCAGGGATTCTAACTCTGGTCTCCTGAGGTAAAAACCACTAGTGCTCAAACAACTACACTACACTGCTGTGGCCCTTCCTAAACCCAGCTTGTTCCTGATGAAGAACATTGTTCTCTTCCATCCAACCTATCAGCTTCTGGAGAAGAAGGTGGCTATTAATCTTAAAGCTAATATCCAATAAACAAATTGGCTGATAATTTGGAGGACTGAGTTTATCTCCTTTCTTATAAATTGGGAAGAGTGTGCTCTACTTCCATCCATTTGGGTCTAAAATATTATAGCATATTCAATAAGACAAGAGAACAGCAGGCGATATAATCAATGACACTACCTACTCTTCTGTTAAGAAATGTAAAATATCCATTGCAATGATCCCAAGGAATGTCATGAATGCATGTCAATCTCCATAAATCTAACTCTGTTTTCTACTGGCAATCAGTATTCCAAATAGTTTTTTGTGTAGATATAGAGACAGATTCTTTAAATCTCTACTGCTGTCTCTGGGCTACGGTTACAACCATGGTGACCTTGTCACATCTTCTCCAGAAAAAAACTCTGAACACATTTCTCTTTTTTCAGGAGAAAGAGGGAAAGAGTTCTGGAGCCTTGTTCCATCCCTCCCTTTCTCCATCAGTGTTGAACTGTGGATGATGAAAGCAACAAAACAGTTCATTCACAAGGCCTTCTTCTAGGCCATAGTACCAGATCCAAATTGCTGAAAAACATGGAAACTTTGATGTCCCTGCTAGCATAAACATCCCAGATCACCAAACAGCACTGAACAGTCTCCCAAAAAGCTGTCTTTCTTTTTCTTTCTTTTTCCCCCTCATCCTAAACATCTTTTTACAATCTTTCAAGGCTTCTGATAATGCTCAAAAGTCTATCAGAGGAGTAGCAAGCCAAGCAGCATGATAAGAAATGGCATGCACAACAAACTTGTTTTTTTTAAAAAAAAAAAAAAAAACAAACAGCAGATAAGCCAAAATAAAACCAAACAAATAAAACAGGACTTTAAAAGTCTATGCAAAATAAAACAGCTAGCAAATGAAGAACTTGAAAATGCTAGATAAAGACTCATTAGAAGATAAAAATGCTGGAGTGCTTTAGATCACTCCCTATTGTGCCACCACCATTTTTGACTCCTCAACTTGTTGTCAGGGTGGGTAATGTATTTATTTTTCCTTAAAGGGAGAGATGACCCTAAGTGTACTCTTTCTAAGGCTAGGGAAGAGAATCTGAACTCAAATTGTTCCTATGGAAATTAATTATATATATATATTTATATATAATTAAAAATCTTTTGATAAAGCAGGTTTGGATCATTTAAAAAGGGAAGGAAGGAAGTGAGAACAGAGTGTCCCTGGCTAGAGAACAAAGACTTCCAACACTGAAGTTGTGACTTGTCTGGAATCAGAAAGGTTCTTCAACAAAGAACTGGAGTTCATTCAAAGGAACCTGGGCAGTGTTTGAAGAAAGGGACTGCATTTTGGCTTAGCAGTAACAGCATAGGAGTATTGAAAGGGGGTGAAGCACCAAGGAATTAATGCATTGTAAGAAGAACAGAGATAGCCAGGAATAAACAGAGAGCGCTGAAGTGTTTTTCAGAGTGATTGTCAAATTTCATAGAATCATAGAATCACAGAGTCAGAAGAGACCACAAGGGCCATCCAGTCCAACCCTTTGCTATGCAGGAACTCACAATCAAAGCACCTGCAACAGATGGCCATCCAGCCTCTGTTGAAAGACCTCCAAAGAAGGAGACTCCACCAAAATCTCTGAAGGAGTGTGTTCCACTGTCGAACAGCTCTCACTGTCAGGAAGTTCCTCCTAATGTTGAGGTAGAATCTCTTTTCCTGGAGCTTGCATCCATTGCTCCAAGTCCTATTCTCTGGAGCAGCAGAAAACAAGCTAGCTCCCTCCTCAATGTTACACTCCTTCAAATATTTAAATAGGGCTATCATATCACCTCATAACTACCTCTTCTCCATCTTGACAAGATTTGTACCTTGACAAACTAAGCCATCGCCATGGAAAACTCTCCTCTGTATCTCCAGTTGTCATGGCATCCCCTTTTACATTTATTATTATTATTATTATTATTATTATTATTATTATTATTATTATTATTTCTTACCCATCTTTTCCCATGGAACGAGGTGGGGAACAACAACAATGAACAGATAAACAATATCAGTTAAAACACATCAGTTAAAATGCACCTTAATTTAAAATGACAAATAGCACATACATATATTAAAATGATCCACATTTAAAATTCATCATTGAAAATGGATTGGTCCTCTCTGTATGCCAGTAGAAGACAGTGACATTAACCTGAAGGAGGAATACAGTGGGATTCCAAGATTCAGCCTATGCTATAGCTGATGGAAAGGGCTGTGGAAGCCAAATCATGATGATTTCAATCTTGACCTTTGGAGGAGTTTGGGAATGATCTGCAATGTTCTCAGGCCATGGGGTAATTGAACTGCATTACGTGTCATTCAGGATGAGACTGTAGCTCAATGCAATATGCTATGCTATGCATGCAGAAAGCTTACACTTCCTATAATACTTCAGACCATGAGCATATGGATCACATGCTGCTGGATCATTCAAAAATGTTGTTTATTCCAGCATTCTGCACACACAGTGATTGGCCAATGAGATGTCTCTAGGAAGACAAAAATCTACCTCCTGAGGTAGCCATCTCACTTTACAAAACAGAAGTGCCAGCTTCTATACATTTTAGTCCATGAGAAAAATGGAAACTAAGGATTGCATTAACTATATGACTCCCATGGAAGAAAAATGATATTAACCTCCCATGCAAGATCTTAATCTCCCATGCAAAAAATGTGATGGTCAAGATTTTGCAATACAGACTTTGCTAGATATGAACCAAGAAATTTCAGAGCTGCAAGCTGGATTCAGAAAAGGAATAGGCATTAGAGACAATATAAGTTCTAAGGGGACCCAATGGGCCATTGAGTCCACCCACCCTTTACAACAGGGAGGCCAGCAAGAGCATCCCCAGTAGGTACTGTAGCTGTCTAGCTTCACTATTTGAAACATACTTTAGAACCAAAACAAATTAGGCATTAGAAAAAAATGGAGCACACCAAAGAATGCTGGAAGAAAATAAACAATAATAAAGGTTTTGATTACATGGATCAGTAGAAACTATGGCTCACTCTAAGACAGATATGTGTGCCACAAAATCTGATTGTCTTGATACATAACTATACTTTGGACAAGAAGTGACAGTTAGAACAGACTATGGAAAACAGAATCCCTCCTAGCTGGCACGAGAGGCAGCCAGGACTGCATTTTATCACTCAATCTGTTTAATTTATATGCAAACATATCATCTGGAAAGTGGGTTTGGACTTAGAGGAAGAAGGTGTGAAAACTGGGGAAAGGATCACGATTACTGTGATGGTGTCGTTGCTGATGATGATGATTTTACTTTGTTGCTGTAGTGGGAATTCTGAGTTATGATGACCTAAGATGAACTTATCGTAGGGCTTTCTGGGTGACTTGCCCAAGGTCAGCTGGTGGTTTTCCATGGCCGAGCGAGGAATCAAACCATGGTCTTTAGTGTTAGTCCAACATCCAAACCACTATACCACATCGGCTCCACTTTACTTAGATGCCACCTTTTTCCCAAATTGGGAAAATGCAGCTTAGATGTTGAAACAAGTACAAAATAGCTAAAAACATACAAAGGTTAGCATTAGAATCAAACTAATCAGAAAACAACTTAAAACATACACTGCAAAAAGGATAAAAGAGCAGTTTAAAACATTGTTTTTTGTGGGGGGGGGGTTGGGGAGGCTATGTGATTGTGTTCTAGAAAAGTTTATTGCTGACATTTCACTAGCTTCTGTGGCTGGCATCTTCTTTCTCTGAAGATGCCAGACACAGATGCTAGTGAAACGTCAGGAATAAACTCTTCTAGAACATGGCCACACAGCCCGAAAAACCCACCAAAAAAACATGAATGCTGGCCATGAAAGCCTTCAACTTCACACAGTTTAAAACAGTTCAGTAAAAACAATACAGCATCCTCACTATGCACTTTAACCGTTGAAGATATGCAGATGACACTGTACTACTAGAAGTCAATAGCAAACACTTTGATTGTCTGGCAATTAATGTTAGAGAAGTGCAAAAGAAGAATTGCAATAAGAGTTTTATAAGAGTTTTTAAATTTTAAATTTGCACAGGTAAGGTTTTTAACTTTTTGAAATTGTTTGTTTCAAACTTTGTATTTTTATTGTTTTGTACTGTTTTTAACTACTTTAAATTTTGTTAGCCGCCTTGAGTCCCTGTACCAGGAGGAAGGCAGAGTATAAATAAATAAATAAATAAATATTACAATTGAGAAGACAGAAATAATTATCACAGATTATTTATACAACTTTAAAGAGCATGATGAAGACACAGATAGTTAAAGATTTTCTATACCTTGGGTTAATCATTAATCAAATGGAGAAATCAGAATACAATTGAGACTTGGGAGGGCATTCATAAAGGAATTAGATGAGTCCCTCTACTATACCATTAAACACCAAAATCAGAATCATCTATATCACTGTAGTTCCATTTTCCATGTACAGTTGTAACAATAAAGGCAGAATGACTAAACTGAGGCTGTCATACTTTGGATCTATCATGAGAATACATCATTCACTGGAAAAGGAAATTACAGTAAAGTGGAAGGCAGTAGGGAAAGAGGAGCGCTTTATAGATGGATTGATTTTTAAAAAGAAGCCATGATCCTGAATTTACAAGAACTAAGAAGGTCTCTTGAGCATCTCTCATTTATAACAGTGGTTTCATATTTCACAATTTATAAGATCGTAAGCGTGACTTAGGATTTCATAACTTCAGGGATTTACATATATAGTCATTAATGACTAAATGTAACCCCAAAAAACCTACTTCTTAGGCCAGTCAGCACCGCCAACAGAAGGGTTTCTAAGGTACAGCAAGGGTTCTGGAAAATTATGGCTGCAGCGCTCTTCTGGTTGCAGGATGTGTCGAAAGGTGCCACCAGCTACAATCATAAAGTGACCCACAAGTGAGCAAGCTCTGGACATCATTTCCCTGATCTCCAGCAACTCAGAAACCCTTCAGCTAGAGGTACTGCCTGGTTTAAGAGAGAGTTTTAGGGAGGAGTGGCCCAAAATCTAAAGGGTCAAAAGTAATTGCAGTAGAAGTAGTTACAACAGTGGTACACCATCATCATATCTCCATCTGAAGATGCAGGATCTCAGGCAAGGTCACCATAGGTTGAAGAGTGCTGACCTCAAAGGACAACAATCACAACAACAGGGTATGCTCTGGCATTTTCAAACCAGAATAGACAACACTAGGCTGAAAAAGCAAATAGGATTAGCTGCTATAGGGCAATTTCCAATGTTCATAACCATCCCTCGCCTTTGACATTTTGATGCCATCACTCTTGTCGGCATTATAATTCTGTACTTTCTGGTAGGCATGAAGCAAAGCCCTTGCTTGTGTTCTAGCCATCACACTAATTCAGTAACTACTGCAAGATCCAAACCTGACATTACGTTAATGGGTTTATTAGTAGCAATTTGGCAACCAAGCCAAGCAGCACTCATAAACACAGCAGAAAGATTTCTGTAACTATGAGTAACCATAAAGTCTGTGTCAATGTTAACTGTGCTTTAAAAGTTAGAGTATTAATTTGTGTAGATGCAGAAAAACTAGCCAGGGACTCAGTGTGGGAGACTGTAGTGCAGGGAAGGGAAAGTTGTGGCCTTCAAATAATGCTGGACTGCAACTCCCATCATCTCTCACCATTACCTATGCTGGCTAGGACTAGTGGGAGTTCCATTTCCACAGCATCTACTTCATACGTTTTACATGATAACTCTCTTAAGTGCCAGGTAAAAGGGGTGGAAGTGCCTTTGCAGACTGCCAGAAATAGTGCACTTTAAATTGAGGCACTGTCCTGGCTCAGTGCTAGGGAATCATGGGAATTGCATTTTTTTTTTTTCTGAGACATTGAGCCTTCTCTGTCAGAGAGCTCTGGTGCCCCAATAAAATACAGCTCCCATGATTCCCTAGTCAATTCCCTAGTCATGGGAACTGTATTTTATTGTGGCACCAGAGTTCTCTGACAGAGAAGGCTCAATGTCTCAGAAAGAAAACAATGCCCATGATTCCCTAGCACTAACCCTAACCCTTAAAGTGGACTCAATTTGCACTATTTCTGGCAGTCTGCAAAGGCCCTATGGGAAATAAAGTTTCAGCTTCATTTGCAAGCTTCAAATGAGGACGTGGGGCTCTCACTTCAAAATACGTATGATTTGGATACAGAAAAACTGTTTCCCTGAAAATGAGTAAAAATAAATATCTTATTTTACATCCTGCCTTTCAGCCAAAATGGGATGCAGACTGAAATGAAAGACTGAAAGAAACCAAACTGAAACTTCACATTCCCCTAAAAGAATCCCCCCTCTAAGGCCAAAATGGAATAAGTGACATGCCACCGCCGAATGAAAATGCTACTAAAATCATACTTGAGACCAACAAAGCTTCACTCAAATAAGCATCAAATATAGAATGAATGATGGGAATGTATAGGGAAAGGATTTGCAAAGGCTGATACTGGTTGACTGGAAGAAGGAGCAACTCCAGGTACAATAATCAGAGAAATATCACTGAGCACCAACAAAGCTCTTTCAAATGTTTTCATAAAAAGCTTAGCAAGAAAAGAAGGCACCATGATTGGAGAGTGATCCTGAGATTTTTGCCCTTCATTGGAGGCTGGAGCTGTCAATGAGGAAGGTCAAGCCTCTCTTACAAAATTCCTTATTTGGCACTTTCTTTTTGCAGTTTTTTTTTTAATGGTGCTCCCTTCATATACTGGCATCCTTTGGACAAATTTGAGCCAATTCAGTTCAGCTGGGTTCAGGATTCATCTTGCCACTAATCGTTCTTGTCGTTTCTGTTGTTCATGGTATCAAGCCAGCCCCAAGCTATATTTATTGTTAACAAAACTCTTTCTGGGGGAAATAACAGCCTCCCCCGTTGGGGTTCGTGTTATAAGACAATGCTGAATTTGGGTGAGCTTGCATTCCTTTGCTAGGTAATTTGGGAAGAGGATGGAAGAGGGAATGTTTATTACTTTGATGAGGAGAAACATTCAAAGCAAGAAATGAAAACAACCACAAAGGGGAGGGTGATGTGTTGATGCTATCATATCCTTTGAATATTTTTCTACTGCTTGTGATTCCTCTTCCACCTCTTCCTTTGTGGCAAGTTCATTAACAGAAGCTGTCATTCCGGTACCTCTCTTTGCTGCATCTCAAGACATGAAAATGCCTCTGAAGCCTTTTGATTCCCCCCCCCCCATCTATTGGGGGTGAAAAAGAAACAAAGAGAGAGACTTTTAAAAAGGGAAGAATGAAACAGATGGCTCTCATTAGCACGGGACTGCTTTAATCTTTTGCACTGTTTAAATTTTTATTTTCCTTTCAATGATGGTAAGGAAATGAGTAGAAATTAAGACTTTCCCAGAGTAAAACGGAAGTTCACACTCTACAAGACATTAAAGCAAGTGAGGGCTGGGGAAGGAGTGGAGAGATGAGATGGACTTGGTATAAAAGCCGAAACGATATCCCAGCACCACAATGATCTCCTGTGAACTTACATTGTGAACTTACATTTGGTGAAAAATGCATGTTCTTCCATGGTTCGTGCTCAAGCCACACTCTCTATGAAAACCTAAGAAAGAAGCAACGGTTTTGCAGATGGACCCAGAAGAAAGGAGATGAGACACATGCCTTTGACACAACAAGCTCCTCAATTCTTTTCATAGCTGAGCCATTCTCCAACAAGATGAGATTTTATATTGCTCTTCCCGTTCCTATCCTGAGCATGGCTATGGGCATACAGTGGCTTCATTGAAAAGGACATTATCAAACAAAATAAAATAAAGACTAATATGTAAGGAGGAGGAGGAGGACAATATTCGGTCATCATAGAAAGTTGTCGAACAAAGTTATCCTTCTGTTAGTGTCATGGGAAAGCCCAAACTTGGCCAGAAAGTCCACATGGCTGTGCTTGTGGCCCTCTTCAGCAAGAATTAAGTATGCCAACTTAGCTGTCTATAGCATCAACTCCGTTGTGCTCTCCTTTCTCCTCGAGTTTTATAACCAGTAAAAGATGGGAAATCTTTGCTACACAATAATGAAAATTGAAGGTGTCTGGTGCCAGGAGCTGTATAATTTCCTGTAAAGTAGAAGTGGGAATTGTGCTGTCTTCCATATCCTGTTTGAGTGCAACTCCCAATATCCCAAGGCAATGATTGCTGACTGCTGCAGTTCAACAACGATCATGTAGCTACATGATTCCAAACCCTGTTATGAACCTGTGTTAGTTAAATAAGTGAAATTTGTTAAAATACCAACATAGGTAGTAATAGCAATAGCAAGTACATTTCTATAGCACTTATCAGTGAACTAAGGGCCTTTGCAGACTGCCAGAAATAGTGCAAATTGA